TCCACACTGGGAAGATGAGGACCCTGTTACAGATGTGTTTCTATTTTTTCACGCAATACTAGGTAATACCATCTGTTGAGAAAGAATAAAGTCATTTTAAAATAAAAAAAAATATGTTATTTTGAACAGTGGAAAACAAGTATACCAGGGAAGTATGGGAGCAGCAGTCCTGGGCAGTGCTCAGGCCATTTGATCTGTGATGATCAATTTTCTAAATAAAATCTCTGGGTAGAATTGGGCAGTTTCCTGTAGGAATATTTTATTGTTTGAGTGCCTATCAGAGTATAGTCATCAGATCTTTGCCAGAGGATTTTGGCACAAATGATTACACTGAACCACATTTCTGTGACTGCATTACTGCATTACATGACCTGCAAGGTCATGGTTTACAGTAATGCACCTTGAAATTTAACTTCAGGTAAGTGGGCAGTGAAGACTGGAAGGTACAAAGGGGTGGTTTTTTTCATTGGTGCTAAGAGTCCAAGGGGTTGAACATAAGCGTGAAATAGAAGAAGAGCCGGAGTATGGTAGGAACAGTAAGAGGCTATTGCGTGGGTGGGAAATCAGAACTAGAGGCAATGGTGTTAGTAATGTGGATGAGGTTGGTGATTTAGGGAGAGGGCAACTGGGCAGGGTGATTAGGGAATAACTAATGAGGGCATCGTCATTGGTTATAAAGCCGTCCAGAATCAGAGGCCCCATGGATTGTGTATAGAAATGTGTGGGTAAGGGGCATGTGGGCTATGGAAGGAAGAGGGATGGCTAGTTGCTGAAGTCGTCTGTGAAGGGGGACTGGCCAGACTTTGGTAAATATCAGCCAAAGGAAGCTGGCCGTGACTGAGAGGATAAGGACTGGGAGGCACCCTGGAACCAGATGTAAGCCCTTGGCAGAAAGAGGAGTCCTGTGTCTAGCTGGGCGATGTTGACCCTGAGAACAAAGTCATCTCTCCTGCCCCGGAAGTTCCAGGAAGTCCCACCCTGGAAGTTTCAGGAAGTTTCCCTCTGGAAGTTCCAGGAAGTTCCCCCTGGATTTGAGTTCAAGCCTCATCAACTATGTACTGTCTTGCGCTTGACTGAGTCAGCCTACTTATCCTTGTCTGTAAAATGGAGATGAATGCTCCAAGGATGGCCTCATTCACAAGGATCACTTGAGATAATGAGAGTAAAAGCATTTTTCAAACTTACAAAGTACTTTAAAATAAAATAATGTATTGCCATGGCTCAATCAGACACCGCACACATTAATTTTAGCAAATCGGGTGTTTGGAGAACTGTGCTCTTTTGAAAATGAGCCACATTTGGAAATGTTTTTTGGCCAGATGAACATTTATTGAGTAAGGACAAAGGTGGTCATATGCCAAGGGGAAGGGACTAGATATGGGAACAGAAAACAGAAAAACATGTAAAAACAATTCATGATTCGTGTGTTAGCCAGTAATTTTTTCTTTTTCTTTCTTTTTTTTAAAACTTTTCTTAATGTTAATTTTCAAAAGAGACTCAGAAAGTCTGTGGACTGTGGGGAGATCACAAGGTCATCCTGACAGTGAGACCCATTCTTGTACATATTCTCGGTTCCCTGGAAACACTTGTGTTCTACCAAGTAGTCGTGTTTGCTTTGACCACACCATGCCTCCAACAGTTTATCTCTTGCATCATAATTATTGACTTTTTTGTTTTGTGGCCACATCTAGTGGTGTTCAGGGTTTACTCCTGGCTCTGTGCTCAGGGGTGGCGCCTGGTGGGCCTTGGGACCATATAGGTTGCCAAGGATTGAACCTGGTTCGACTGCATGCAAGGTATATACCCTACCCACTGTACTATCACTCTGGCCCCGCTTTATAATTATCATCTTCTGAGCAGGATCTATTGCTTGTTCTTCGAACCATAACACCTATCTGATCCTTGTATTCTTGAGAGTACAGAGTGGAATGGTACAGCAGAATAAGAGCTTCAACACAAATGGGGCTCTGATTCATGCCTCCTGTGTTACTGTCAGCATTAGCATCATCACTGACTAGCAGTAATATTACTAGTAACAGTTACTATGACTAGTAAAATATTACTAGCAGTAATATTTTTAAAAATTCCAAAACCAAATTGATGGCACCAGAGAGATAGTACAGCAGGCAGGGCTCTTGCTTTGCTATGTCCACCTGGGTTTGATCCCCAGCACTACATATGGTCCCTTGAATCCTGCCAGGACTGATCCCTAAGCATAAAACTAAAAGTGAGTCCTGAGCACACCCAAGTGTGTCCCAAAGCAAACGCCTCCCAACCCTGCTGATTTGTTTTTGTTTTTGTGTTTTTGTTTTTGTTTTTTTACCTACTCCACTGAAATTAGAGACTAGGGAAGCTTGTCTTCAAGATTTAATTAATAAAATTGCATTTGCAACAAATAATCCCATTTTTACAAAAATATTTTCTCTTAATTCATCACAACCAGGGAAATATAGGAATCAGGAACATCTAATGAGTGAGCCACCATGCCTTAGCCCCACCCTATGAGACTCTGATGTCAGTTAATAGTCCCCTTGACCACAAGGCGACAGTTCCTAAGAGTGTGGTAACAAGGCAACTAGCCAGGACTGTGTGGCAGAGTAGCAGGAACCTTGTAGAGCCCTTAAAATGATGCCATGAGGGACAGGGAACAGGCTCAAAAGGCTGAGTATAGGCCTTGCATGGAGGAGAGCCAAGTTCCACTCTCAGCTCTGCATTGCCCCCCCCCCCCCCCCCAACGTATCACACCCACCCAAAGCACTACCAAGTTCGGCCTCTATCCCCGCCCTGCCCTTCCCCCACAAGCAAAGACCATATGAACATGAGGGCAGATTTTACAAAATGCCCTTGGGTGGCACAGCGCAGAGAAGCAGCATAGTGGGCATAATGATAGGAGGACAGAGATGCAGAGGGCAGGGAAGAGTGCAGAGTGGACGCAGCCTGAACTTGCCTTCATTGTTAGAATATTTGAAACAGTGTCGACAGACCGGAAGAAAGGTTCAATGAGTTACTGGTGGAACCAAACATGCCGTGCTTTGCCCCTGGGTCTTTAGTGTGTGTGCCCCTTCCTAGAAATAGAAGAAAATAGGGGCGTGACTAAATAGAGGGCGTCGAAGCAGATAAAGGGGACCCAGACCTGGGTGAGCAGTTGGCCTGTGGTCAACATCTTTCAACATCTTCAGCCTTTGTGTCTTTATCTGATGAGAAGGGATTAACATGCATGCAAGTGTGGTTATTATCCCTTCCTCCTGGGCCCTTGTCGCCCCCTCGCTGTTAGTTCACTCTCAAGGCTGTTTCCTCCTCCCAACTGTGGCCCTGACTGGCCACACAAGCATGCTCATGACTTTTTAATTCCTACATGAACTTTTTAATTCCTACATGAACTTCTCATGTTGCTCAATCCACTTCCTGGTTCCTCCCAGCCCTGCCTGACACTGTGTCCTGTGTTTGTTCTTTCCATCCAACTGCTTCCTCACAGGTATGCCCCATGGAGGCAGAATTTGGCCTAAGTTGCACAGTGCCACCTGTCCCACATTTCTAGCTGGGCACCTGCCTCATAACACGGGTCTGAGAAGTATTTGTTGATGCCACTATAATAAAGATGGAATCCTTGGGCTGAAGAGACAGTGAGTGAAGCACTTGCCTTGTATACAGCTGATCAGAATTATATCCGTGGCATCACATATGGTCCCCTGAGCACCACCAAGAGGAGTAAGCTCTGAACACTGTTGGGTGTGTGTCTCAATACCTTCCTCCCTCACCCCACTTTAAAAAAAATAACAGAATCCTACTATGTGCAGTACCATGGAATAAGCTAGAGAGCATCGTGCTGAATGAAATAAGTCAGAGGGAGATAACATCGTTTTATTTCACTCATATATGGTATACCAAGAAACTGCCAAACATGAATGAACCAAATGAAACAAACAAATTGTGAAAGCAAATTAGTGACAGAGGACAGTGTCAGATAGTGCTTGGAGGAACCATAGAGTGGAATGAGCAACATAAGAAGTTCATTTGGGTAGAAAATAAAATATGGAAACACTGAGCATGCTGGTATGGCCAATCAAAAAGGCCAGAGGATGGAGAAGGAGAGCCAAAGAATAGTACAGGGGGAAGGACACTTACACGAGCCCGACCTGAGTTGATCCCCAGCACCACATATGGTCCCCCTGAGCCCACCAGAAGTGATCCCAGAGTTCAGAACCACGAATAAACCCTGATCACAGGTGGGTATGGACCAAACACAAAAAGAAAAAAAAAGGAAGGGGCATGGGTATATAAGGTAAAAGGTGTCCAATGTATGGGGATGGATTGAATGGACTTTTAGTGGTGACCTATCAAAGTGATGATACAGGTGATGATTTGTCATGATGTATACCTGGTAATGGTAGCATGTTAGAAAATGATATGATTTCACTTAAAATGAAAATTAATTTTAAAAATTAAAAAGAACATTGGGGGGGGATGGAGCAATAGCACAGCAGGTAGGGCGTTTGCCTTGCACGTGGCCGACCTGAGTTCTATTCCCAGCATCCCATATGATCCCCTGAGCACTGCCAGGAGTAATTTCTGGGTGAAGAGCCAGGAATAACCCTGTGCATTGCCGGGAGTGACCCAAAAAGCAAAAAAAAAAAAAAAGAACATTTGGGGACTAGAGAAGTAGTCTTCCAGGAAGCTAGTAGTCTTCTAGGAAGCCACCAGAGATCATCCTCTGATCACAGAGGGTGATCACAGAGCCCCTGATCACTCCCAGGTGCCACCAACCACACCACTCCCCCAAGAAAATAACAAAAAAATAGAAGCATTTGCTGTAGTGCTGAATGTTCAAGGTGGAGACATTCCATCTTGTTTTTTTTCCATTTGTTTCCTAGACCCCAGAGTTGCAATGTCACTATTGTCTTATTAATTTAAAAATACCTTTCATGTGTATGGTTACCAGGTAACCCCCCTCTCTCTCTCTCTCTCTCTCTCTCTCTCTTTCTTGTTCATTTGTGTCGTAGATCTGCCATGCAGAAGCTGGGCACGCAGGTGTTTGAGGAGGTCTACAGTTACCTCAAGAAGGCCAGGCAGCAGAAGGCCAGCGAGGCAGAGATCCGGGAGTCTCTGGAAAAAGTGGTGCCCCGTGCCAGCGACTGTTTTGAAGTGGACCAGCTCCTCTACTTTGAGGACCAGGGACTGATCCCAGTGGGAGAAGGGCCCATACACCAGAAGCAGCACTAAGAAACTGTCCAGAAGAAGCAAGTTTCAGCGAGCGCTTTTCTTGCACATCCGTAGACCTCACTGGCTGGGTGTTCTTCCAGGAAGCCGTTACCCAGCTGGAACTGCCATCTTGCCCTTCACTTCCTTGACTCCTTTTGAGAGCCGGAAACACATCTTCTGTGCTCAGATTCCTGAACCAGTCAGTGTTGTTGGCTCTGAGCCGTGGATGGAGTTGAGCTGTCCTACCCTGTGCTCTCAAAGCCTCCCAGCAGCCCCAGCCCACCTGTTGGTAGCCCGGAAGAGGAGGTCATCTGCCCTTTGAAATTTCCACTTGGAAAGACCCAGCACTGCCTGCTTCTGAGTGACCCTTTGACATCTAACACACTGAGCTGCTGCCCTCGGAGCCAGCCATTCTCGTGTGAGGTGACCCCAGCCAAGGAGAAATCCCTTATGTGCGATAACAGGATTCAGAACAGAGCACTTCTTCTCTCGCCCAGTTCCCAAGTCCATCCGTGGAGTATTGAGGAACCTGATTCTTGATAAATGTATTTTTTTCCTATGGTTGCAAAAGAAATCACCTATTTAATCTTTTCCTTACCCAGCAGTATATTAATGAGCATATCACATACATGTAATGATTAGAGCAGGTAACATGTGGTTTAGCTGCTGACTATCTGGTATTGTGCTTATCATTTAAGAATCAAACTTGGTTGGCTGTTTTCACTAATGATGAGGACGAGGGGCTCCCCATTAGGTAGCTCAAGATATTTGCTACAAAATGAGTCACATGAATCTAATGCACAGATGCCCTATTGCTCCCAGCATTGCATCTTGCTAAGGACTGAGAGTTTGGCAGCCCATTGTCAATCATTGGTGGGGCCAACCCTCAACACCATACATTGTCATTTAGACCAGAGCTTCTCCACTGTGAACATTGGCATTGGTCTGAGTGATGTTAAACACAAGAGCACATTGTCATCCATCCTCAATTTACCAGATCTGGGTGAATTGCAAGGTGGGATTTTACAAAGTCTAAAGTGATGCCCAGGTAAGCTAAGGACCACTCAGACCACTGCGAAGATCCTTGTTGCTCAATACTTTGGTGTCCTTGTGATTGCATCTTTTATCCATTCACGAGGCCTGGGAAGAAGGACCCAGAGACTTAGATTTCTCATCATGAATACTCTCAAAATAGGATGCTCAGCAGAGAGTATATTAGTCCACTAAATGACTTAAGGGGACATGACAGAGTCAGCTTATAAGGATAAGGGAAGAAGGTCACTGTGCTGAGGTCTCATTTGTCTTCTGGGAATGAACCCTTCCCCCACCCCTAGTGACACCACAGCTCCTGCAGTGCTCATGGGTTGGTGGACATCACTGTTCTGTATTCTCTCTCCACCCTAGCTGCTGAGACCGGTGGTTGCAAAATATTTAGGGTCATGAATTGAATGTGGGAACAGTTTGCAAAATTTTTTCCTTTAAAATAAATATATGATTTGCTGTGGGTAAATATTTGTCTATTTTAGTCTTACCCAGGATCATGAGCAGAAAATGTTGAAGAAGCCTTGGCCTGCATTGTTGTGAAAGGGTATGGGGGCAGCACCAAGGTTCACCCCAGCTAATGGTGCCCATTCCCTTCTCCTTCCTGCATGCTGAGGAAACTTTCCGGGATGGGAAGGGGTGTTCTCAGAGATACCTCCACACCATGGGAAGTATCTAGGACGTGGCAACAAAAAAGGTCTCAAATGCTCTTTGACTCCTGCAGGTGAAATCCGATGTTTTTCTCAGAATTCTCAACTTGAGTGTGTCAAGTTTCAGGACCCATCAGGTTTCAAATGGATGGGTGTGGGAGCATGGTAGGTAGAGCACCTGAGTCATCAGGGCATCAGAGGTCCAGAATTTCCTTGTTGGTGTTCCTCTATGACACTGGACCCAAATACTTTCTGGGCCAGAAGAGGAAAGAGCTATATTCACAAAGGGTCTCTGCCATCTTTATAAATGAAACCTACCCAAAGAACAATACCCTTGATCTTTAGAACACGGGCTAGGGGGAATAAGACCTCCTCTACCCTCTTTTGTGATGTCACTGGAACCTGCAAACTGAACTAGTAAGAAAATAGATTTCACAAGAGGAAAAAAATCATGTGACTTTTAATCACCACTAGGTTTTTACTTGGTATGGGGGGCCTTTCCAGAAAGAAGTGAACACTCCAAAGTAGCAGGTAGGTCTGGGAGCTTATGTACAATTTTGATAAGAGTGGTACATTTGTGGGATAATGATGGAAAAATAAAGGATAAGGATTTGAGTTTGGGAGATAGTGGGTCAGTCATTGTGCAGTCATGATTGGGACATGTATGGGGGTGGTAGTGGTGGGGGAAGTAATTGAAGATCAAAGTGATCTGAATAGATTATACAGGTCCATCTCAGCATCAACATCAACATCCTGTCTTCAGTGATAAGAATTTTCTGTCAGGCCAAAGGCATAGTACAGGAAGTAAGATTCATGCATGCAGCTGACCTCGGTTCAACTCCCAAGCACCACTAGGGAGCACCCCTGAGCCCAGAGCCAAGAACAGCCCCTGGAAAACAGCACAGTGGTAGGGTGTTCGCCTTACAAGCGGCCAACATGGCCGACCCGAGTTCGATTCCTCCGCCCCTCTCGGAGAGGCCGGCAAGCTACCGAGAGTATTCGATATGCCAAACACAGTAACAACAAAGTCTCCAATGGAGACTTTACTGGGCCCGCTCGAGCAAATCGACGATCAACGGGAGGGCCATTTTTTTTTAAATTTTAATTTAATTTATTTATTTTTTAATTTTTTTATTAGTGAAGCACCATGAGGTACAGTTGTAGACTTACAAACTTTCATGCTTGGGTTTCAGTTATGCAATGATCAAGTACCCATCCCTCTACCAGTGCCCATTCTCCACCAACAATGAACCCAGTATCATTCAATAACACCCCCCCCCCCATCCCTTCCCCAGCCCGCCCCACCTCTGTGGCAGGGCACTCCCTTTTGCTCTCTCTTTCCTTTAGGGTGTTGTGGTTTGCAGTAGAGCTATTGAGTGGCCATCGTGTTCGGTCTATAGTCTACTTTCAGCACGCATCTCGCATCCTGAGCGAGTCCTCCAAACACCCTTTACTTGGTGTTCCCTTCTCTATCTGAGCTGCCTTTCCCCCCAGCATCTGCTGCGAGCTTCCAAGCCATGGAGCAGACCTCCTGGTACTTATCTCAACTATTCTTGGGTGTTCGTCTCCTCTTCTGTTACTTTATACTCCCCAGATGAGTGCAGACTTTCTATGTCTGTCCCTCTCTTTCTGACTCATTTCACTTAGCAAGATACTTTCCATGTAGAACCTCTTGTATGCAGATTGCGATCCCTATAAGGATACCCATGAAATTCTTCAATGAAATAGACCAAACACGTCTAAAATTCATTTGGAACAACAAATGCCCACGAATAGCTAAAGCAATTCTTGGGAAAAAGACTATGGGATGCATCACCCTCCCCAACCTCAAACTCTACTACAAAGCGGTAACAATTAAAACAGCATGGTACCAGAACAAAAGCAGAGCCACAGACCAATGGAACAGGGTGGAATATCCGTACACACAACCCCAAATATACAAACATCTAATCTTTGATAAGGGAGCAAGAAATGTAAAGTGGAGCGAGGAAAACCTTTTTAACAAATGGTGCTGGCATAACTGGACAACCACATACAAAAAAATGGGCTTAGACCTTGACTTAACACTATGCACAAAAGTCAGATCAAAATGGATTAAAGACCTCAACATCAGACCAGAATTCATAAGATACATTGAAGACAAGGTCGGCAAAACCCTCCAGGATATTGAGGCTAATGGTATCTTCAAAGATGACATGCCACTGACCAACCAAGTGGAAACAGAGATAAACAAATGGGACTATATTAAACTAAGAAGCTTCTGCACCACAAAAGATACAGTGACCAAAATACAAAGACAATCTACGGAATGGAAAGGATATTCACCCAATACCCATCTGATAAGGAGTTGATATCAAGGATATACAAAGCACTGGTTGAACACAAGAAGAAAACATCCAACCCCATAAAAAAATGGGGTGATGAACAGAAACTTTGTTAAAGAAGAAATCTGAATGGCTAAAAGGCACATGAGAAAATGCTCTACATCACTAATCATCAGGGAGGTGCAGATCAAAATAAGGAAAATGTATGCTCTTAGGTGAAGTTGAGAAGGCAGAAGATTCACTTGTACATCTCCTGTTTGTTAATTGCTTTCCATTCAAAATAATCCGATGACAAAGTGGCATATTTGGGGGTGGCATTTTTTTCTTTCTTTTTTTTTTTTGGAGGAGGGTGGGTTGAGTTTCCCTCCCCACCCCGAGCAGAGCCCCAGTAACGGGAAGACCTCTGGTTCCAGCCACAGCCATGCTTAAGACCACTCTCCACACGTTCAAATTAGCCTCACACATGAAGGAACCGGCAGAGGAACCCAGGTGTGCAGGACCCAGGGCGTAGATCTCCAGCCTGCTCAGATTGGGACTGGGGCCTCCTCCACCCAGATCCCCCATCTTCCAGTATGTAGGCGTTACACCCACCAACTGCCCCTGGCACCTGTGTAATCCCATCAACGGCCAAGACCCAGAGATTATAAAACCCTGCTCCCGAATTATCTAGTTCTTACTTTGGAGAACCTGGCAGGCTACCAAAAGTATCCTGCCCACACGGCAGAATCTGGCAAACTCCCCATGGCATATTCAATATGCCAAAAATCAGTAACAATGATGGGTCTCATTCTCCTGACCCTGAAAGAGCCTCAAATATAGCACTTTTTAAAATCTCAGGGCTAGGACGAAGGAGACATTACTGGGGTCTGCTCGAGGCAATCGATTAACAAAAGGATGACAGTGATACAGTGATTTTTTGGTGGGGGGATTTTTTATATTTTATTTTGTTATTGAATCACCGTGAAGTACAGTTAGAGGCTTACAGACTTTCGTGCTTGCATTTCAGTCATACAATTATCGAATACCCATCCCTCCACTGGTGCCCATTTCAGTGGGGGGATTTTTGAGTCACCCCTGGTAATACTTACTTATGGTTCTGTGCTCAGAGATCACTCATGGCAGTGCTCTGGAGACCATATAAAGCACTGGTTGAACTCCACAAGAAGAAAACATCCAACCCCATAAAAAATTGGGGTGATGAACAGAAACTTTGTTAAAGAAGAAATCTGA